ATGGAGTGGACTTGACTGGACTGGACTGGACTGGACTGGCCGGGTCGGACTGGACTGGACAGGACTCGACTGGACTGGACAAAAATGGACTGGACTAGATTGGACTGGACTGGTCTCGACTGGACTGGAATGGACTGGACTGGCCGAGTCGGACTGGACTGGACTGGACTCGACTGGACTGGACTTGACTGGACTGGACAGTGTTGGACTGTCCTTGACTGGACTGGATTGGATTGGACAGGACTGGACTGGAGTGGACTCTACTGTAGTAAATTGGACTGGACTGGACTGGACTGGAATGGACTGGACTGGACTGAACTGGACCGGACTGGACTGGACTGGACTGGACTGGACTGGACTGGGGTGGACTTGACCGTACTAAACTGCACTGGAATGGACTGGACTGGATTGACTGGACTCGCTTGGACTGGACTGGACTGGACTGCACTGGTTTGGACTCTACCGGATTAGACTGTACCGGAATGGACCGGACTGGACTGGACTGGACTGGACTGCACTGGACGGGACTGGAATGGACTGGATTTGACCTGGCTACACTGCACTGGACTGGACTGGACTAAATTGTATTGGACTGCAATGGATAAACCTGGACTTGACTGGACTGGCCTGGACTGTACTGGAATTCATTGGACTAGGTTGCACTGGAATGGACCGGATTGGACTGGAGTGGACTGGACTGAGATGGAGTGGACTGGACTGTACTGGACTGGACTGAACTCGACTGGACTGGATTGGACTGGTGTGGTCTGGATTGGAATTGACTGGACTGGACTGGACTTGACTTGACCGGACTGGATTGGACTAGGTTGCTTTCGAATGGACCGAATTCGACTGGAGTGGACTGGACTGGAATGGACTGGATTGGACTAAACTGGACTGAACTGGACTGGACTTTACTGGAGTAAACTGGACTGGAATGGACTGGACTGGACTGGACTGGACTGGACTGGACTGCACTGCACTGGACTGGACAGGCGTGAACTGTATGGCAATGGACTGCCCTGGATTGGAATGGACTGGACTAGACTGCACTCGACTGGACTGGACTGGACTGGACTGGACTGCACTGGACTGGACTGGCTTGGACTGGACTGGACTGGACTGGAGCGGAATGGACTGGACTAAACATCACTGGACTGGACTGGACCGGACTGCAATGGACTGGACTGGACTGGACTGGACTGGACTGTACTGGACTGGACGGGAATGGACTGGACTGGACTGGACTGGACTGGACTGGACTGCACTGCACTGGACTGGACAGGCGTGAACTGTATGGCAATGGACTGCCCTGGATTGGAATGGACTGGACTAGACTGCACTCGACTGGACTGGACTGGACTGGGTTGGACTCTACTGGATTAGACTGGACTGGACTGGACCGGACTGGACTGGAATGGACTGGACTGCACTGGACTGGACTGGACTGGCCTAATTTGGATTGGCGTGCAATGAACAAACCTGGACTTGACTGGACTGGACTGGACTGTACTGGACTGCATTGGACTAGGTTGCACTGGAATGTACAGGATTGGACTGGAGTGGACTGGACTGAGATGGAGTGGACTGGACTGCACTGGACTGGACTGAACTCGACTGGACTAAACTGTACTAATCTGCACTGGAATGGACTGGCGTGTACTGGATGGCAAGGGACTGCACTGGACTGGACTGGACTGGACTGGACTGGACTGGAATTGACTGGGCTGGAGTGGAATTGATTGTACTAAACTGCACCGGACTGGACTGCACTCGACTGGACTGGACTGGACTATGTCGGATTGGACTGCAATGGAATAACCTGGAATTGACTGGACCGCACTGGACTGTACTGGACTGCATTGGACTAGGTTGCACTGGAAAGCACCGGATTAGACTGGAGTGGACTGGACTGAGATGGAGTGGACTGGACTGCACTGGACTGGACTGAACTCGAATGAACTGGACTGGACTGGTGTGGTCTGGACTGGACTTGACTGGACTGGACTGGACTTGACTTGACTGGACTGGATTGGACTTGGTTGCAATGGAATGGACCGCATTGGACTGGATTGGACTGGACTGGACTGGACTTGATTGGACTAAACTGGACTGAATTGGACTGGACTCTACTGTAGTAAACTGGACTGGACCGGACTGGACGGGAATGGACTGGACTGGACTGGACCGGACTGGACTGGACTGGGCTGAACTGGACTGGATTAGACTGGACTGGACTGGAATGGACATGGCTGGACTGTACTTCACTGGACTGGACTAAATTGGAATGGACTGTAATGGAGATACCTGGAATCGACTGGCCTGGACTGGACTGGCCTGGACTGGATTGGACAGGACTGGAATTGCCTGTACTGGCCGGGACCAGACTGGACTGTACTGGACTGGACTGGACTGGACTGGAATGGAATGGACTGGACTGGACGGGACTGGACTGCACTGGAATGGTCTGGACTGGACTGTACATAACGGTACTAAACTGCACTGGACTGGACTAGCGTGTACTGGATGGCAATGGACTGCACTGGATTGGACTGGACTGGACTGGACTGGACTGGACTGGACTGGACTGCACTCGAGTGGACTGGCTTGGACTGGAGTGGACTGGACTGTAGTGGACTTGAATGCGTTGGACTGTACTGGATTAGACTGGACTGGACTGGATTGGACTTGGCTGGACTGCACTTGACTGGACTGGACGAAACTGAAATGGACTGGACTGGACTGGACTGTGCTGATCTGAATTGGCCTGGACTGGACTAAACTGGAATAGACTGGACTGGAATGGCCGGGACCGGACTGGATTGGACTGTACTCGACTGGACTGGTCAGGACTGGACTGTCCGGGTCGGACTGGACTGGACCGGACTGGACTCGACTGGACTGGACTGAACTGGACTTGACTTGGCTGGATTGGACTGGACATGACTTGACTGGACTAGACTGGATTGGACTGGACTGGACTGGACTGCATTGGACTAGGTTGCACTGGAATTGACCGGATTGGACTGGAGTGGACTGGAATGGAATGGAGTGGACTGGACTTCACTGGACTGGACTGAACTCGACTGGACTGGACTGGACTGGTGTGGTGTGGATTGGACTGGACCGGACTGGACTGGACTGGACTGGACCGGATTGGACTAGGTTGAACGGGAATGGATCGGATTGTACTGGAGTGGACTGGACTGGACGTGACCTGATTGGACTAAACTGGACTGAACTGGACTGGAATCTACTGGACTAAACTGGACTGGATTGGACTGGACTGGACTGGACTCTACTGGAATACACTGGAATGGACTGGACTGGACAAAACTGAAATAGACTGGACTGGACTGGACTGGACTGGACTGGACTGGACTGGACTGGACAGTGTTAGACTGACCTGGACTGGACTGGACTGGACTCGACTTGACTGGATAGCACCGGTGTGGTCTGGACTGAACTGGACTGGATTCTACTGGACTAAACTGGACTGGACTGGACGGGACTGGACTGGACCGGACTGGACTGGACTGGACTGAACTGGACTGGACTGGACTGGCCGGGTCGGACTGGACTGGACTGCACTGGACTTGACGGGACTGGACTTGACTGGACTGGAATGGAATGGGTTGGACTGTACTGGATTAGACTGTACTGGACTGGAATGGACTTGGCTGGACTGCACTGGACTGGACTGGACAAAACTGAAATGG